GTGCTGCAGATCAATTCCTTACGATGGATTTTGACTGCAGCCTTAGAAAAAGAGGAAGTTTAGAAATGTGCTCAAAGATCTCTGCTAAGAAGGTGTTTGCTGTACGTGGGGTGTCTTTGGGAGCTGGGAACACAGCAGGGGAGGAAGTGTGGGATGACTTTGTCTCTCTGCTCATTAACAGTTGCTCTTCTGAGGTTGTGCAGTGGGATAATGTATATGGAAACTGTTCTGTGCCCAACAGTAGGTGGATGTAGCATGGGCAGATTTATTTTGCCAACCTCCTTTGCTGTTACAGCAGTGGTGGTTTAGGACTGAGCATCGATGCTTCTGGGAGCAAACTGCAGATCTCAAGGTTAGTGCAGAGGCTGAGGTTGGCGTCAGCAGCAGGAACCTCTTTCTGTCTGGGTGTCTGAAGCAGTTGTAACTCGTTGCTTGGCATCTATAGAGATGGCAGAAGCTTCAGTGTGTGCACTGCAAGGGTCAAACAGTCAAAGCAGATGAGCTGGGAGACAGCCTGTTTTTATAGGACATAATAACTTCGTGTTGGCAAGCGGAATGATGAAGAGTAAGGCAGGGAAATGGAGGGCAAGCGGTGCTCAGTGCTGAAATTAGGTATTTTGGAATGTAGTTAAGCCTGAAAGAAATGTCTGTGGCTGGAGATGAGCATTGATCCCAGCGGTAGGTGGGCTGGCGAGGCGCATTGTGTTTGCTCTGTTGAGGCAGACCCACATCTCCCTGCCCACAAGCAGCTCTGCTGTGATTTCTCACTGTAGGAAGTTGCTCGTGCTCTCTGGTCTCAAGCCCCAGTGGGACCCTGTGCCAATCAGCTGGCTGTGAGCCTCAGCACAGCACGGAATGGAGCCCAGGGGAGCTGTAAGTGCTGCAGTGCGTGAAGTCAGGACATCCTTAACCCATGCAGTGCCTGGGCTGCCTCTGCTCAAGCTTCCCCAGTGGTCCCATAAGAGCCAACAGCATCACTGCAGGTGAGCTGGACAGCTTTGCTCAGCGTTAACGCGAGGTTTGGTTCTGCAGGAAGAGGTTAAAAATGCCCAGAGTTCTGTTGTATTTACCAGTGACCCGCGAGGAGCCTGCGCTTTGTTGCAGGAGCACTTAACCTATGGCCTGTGGGCTGTCGTGTGGTCTGCCAGGACAGCTCAATTCAGACTATTCTGTTTGCAGCATCAATCCTTCACTGAGAGTAGGCTGGAGGCTGAAGGAGGGGCTGGAGTGACACATCAGGCAGCCTTTGCATGGCAGCTGGGTGGTTCTGGCACGGGACTGAAGGTAAGGAGAAACACTGGGGCTAAGAGAAGCGGTCCCATCTCCCATAGAGGTTGCCCTGAAGCTTGTCAGTGAGAAGGAGTAAAAAACCTGTGATAGCAGAGTTAAGAGCTGAGGATGTGGTTGAGCACAGTCCAGGAAGCTTAACATCATCTTCCAAAATTGCTGGCTGTAACTGGAGCAACTCCAGGCTATTCCTGTGTTCCAGACTTGTGATTCCCCCCCCTTCCAGCTTCATGGGGCTGTGAGTGTTGTGGCAAATGTGACTTAACCTGTGTTGTCTGTCACTCCTTTCTCACAGCATCCCTTTGTTCTCCATCCCAGAGCAGGAGGGGCAGGGCAGCCAGTTCCACCTGGGATTTCTCTCTGGAGCATCCTCCTGGTCCCTGCTGTCTCCATGGCAACAGGAGTGGTTCAGCCCTCCCTCTGGGCTCTTCTCCCAGTGCTGTGCTCACATCTGAGAGCAAAGGTTCTCTGGGAAGGTCACACCAAGTGACCCTGCAGCATAATGGGCCAACACAACAGCTTTGTGCTCTTATTTATGCACCCATTGCAATCTGCTGGACAGGACGGTCTCCATCACTGCACGCAAGGAGAAACAGACAGCTCCATTCACCTCTGCACAGCCGACCTGCGAAAGAAAGGGGAAATAAAAATAAAGAGGCTGTTATGCCCAGTTGCCATTTTCTTGAATGTCCCGGGTCGGGGCCCCGGCCAATGTTTTGAAGTAAAATCCTATTTGATACCTGTGCTCAGGCAGTTGGAAGAGGATGGCTGTATCTCATGCCTGCATCTTGCATAGGCTGACACAGCATGTCCTGGTTGGACCCTGCACAGGAAACAAAAGACTGTTTAAACACACTGAGGAGTACTGATTGCTTTAGAACTCCCTTTAAATAGCAACAAGTAAACAATAAAAGTCATCTTTTGGCATTTAGCTATTTATGTTCTGCCAGTTCCAGAGGCACTCCCCAACCCTCACAGCCCCAGCACCACATTGACCTTCCCAGCTACCTGTCCAGGTTCCCCTGGGGAGGCACTTTGTTACCCAGCACATGCTCAGCTCACTCTTTAAGGATTTCTTTCCCCCTGTGTATCTCAGAGAAGCCCCCAGCCCAGTTACCCCAATGACAGCATTACAGCACACTTCTCACCCTGCCCTGCCAAACAGACAGCAATTTCTGGGCTTCAGTTTAAAACCCAGGCTGGAACTTGGAACACTGCTGCTCTGTAACAATATCTGGGCTCTGTGCTTTACAAGGCAACTGCTCTTATCTGAAACAACACTCACATTACATCTTGCTTGCTGAACAGCCATAAGCCTGCAAGCTCTGCTGTTAGATACCAAAGGATGCCCCCCAAACACCACCATTTATTCTGTGCCACACATCCCCATGCTTGGCCTTTACTATATTTCTTCTCCAACCTGCAGTTGCTCCTATCTGCAAAGCAGTACTGGGAGCAGCAGCTGCCCAGCAGCACCAAACACAACACACAGCAATAGCTCAAGGGAAAAACAGAACATTGTGTCAATAATACCACTCCACTGCAAGTGCCACTGAGACTCAGCATATGATTCACGAGCAGCATTTGGGTCTAGAGGCTCAAGAATTTCAGTGCTAAGACACAATTCTCACAATCCATAATCAAACGCTGCAGGTGGGAAGCAGGAGAGCCACTACTCCCCCAGCACAGGAGCTCACTCAATCCCTGACTAACTGTGCAACAGAAAACATTGCCACTAACCCAAGTCTTACACTAACAGACAGGAAGCAGCAACAACACAAGTGGGTATTGCCTTCATTCCTGGCTCCAGTCTGTCATTTAGTTAGGCATTAATGGATTGCAAGCATGCAAATGGAGGCTTTGCTTTGGGCAGAGGTGATTCCAGGAGCCACGGACCATGAGAACAATAATACCATCTGGAATGGCATGTCCACATCACTGCTGCCTCCCTGGGGCTGAACATGAGGGCTTTGCAGGGAGGTGGGTGTCCTTGCACCAAACCATAATGCTACACCAGCAGAGCCCACAGAACTTCCTCACTGCTGCCATTGCCCAGTCACCAAGATATGTTGCCTTCCAGCTTGGGGCTAAAGCTGTGTAGGGAATCGCTTCCACCTGCAGCTCCTTAGGAACTGCTCTACAGATGCAATAAGAGCTACACCAACCTGCTTCTTTCTTTCTATGCCATTGACTCAGTGAACATGTGTGACATCTCAACACCACCCAATGCTACTGCCCAGCTCAATGACAGGTCATGTTGTGTGCACAGCTCAAGGGAACCCTCAGGCATTTGCTCTGGGCACGGAGCTGAGCTCGCTCAGCACGCAGGCATGAGGATCATTAAGTATTTGCTCTTATTTGCATTTCTTCAAGGAAAAGGAAACATCTCCACTAAAACCTGGACTTTAACTAGTGAAAATCTCAGTAAGAGCAATTCCACATTCCTTAGTTGTGATGTTATAATTTGATGGAAAGCACAGCAACAATACTGAAGAAGCAAAGTCCTAGCTACAGCAAGTGAGGATATGCTCAAATACAGCTGCTATATACACAGAAACAAAAGAAAAAAAGCTGCTTACCTTTAGAAGGCCTCAGGTATGCAGAGATCTGCAACTAGATGTTCTCATGTCCACTGCCAACCTCAGAATGAGGGCCGGGAAGGGGTGGATCCTGGCTGCAGCCCTTCCATCACTCAGTACATTGCATGCACCTGTGCTGGCCCTGCCTTCCCACCAGGTGCTCCATCACTGCCTCAGGCTGTGCCTCAGCATTTCTGCTACTCCAGGTAATACCAAGACAAGAAAAAAACTGCAAAGTGCAACACCTGATCAAAGGGGAAAAAGGATTTTTTCTCTTTCTTTTCCATTAAAGTACAGTACATGGGGTTATAATCTCTGCACTCAGCTTCCCATCGATGGCAGCCAGTCTGTAATGAGCCAACTGTGTGGCCATGCCTCTGGTCCCATAGGGGCAGTGAATACCATTTGCAGGGACCTTGCAGGGCTGGGAATGGCACTGCCCTGGGCAGGGTGGGCTCTCCCCCAAGGCCTGGTGGGGTCTGTGGAGGTGTGGGCTAAGCCACCTCAGCCAGCCCTTGGAAGGGGATGTAGCACCATTGATGAACTTTCTCTTCTCTCATTAATCCTGTTTAATGACAACTTGGTCTCAGTGGCAGGAAGCGATTCCTTGCTGTCCAGCTGCAAGCCAAGTGAGAGACCTAGGAGAAAAGCAAGGCCCCATCTCCTGGGCACGCCACATCCTTGTGCTCCAATTGCCTGCTCCAAAACTGCTTCTCACTTCTGATCTAAACCCGCAGGGCTGCAGCTGTGTGCCCCTGCTCTCCAGCAGCCCCAACCAGTTCTCCATTCACTCCCAAACAGCCCAGCAGCCAGACATTGCCTTGCAGTGCTTCCGACCTCAAGGCACAGTGAGGAGATCCATAAAGAGGTTTATTATAGCACTTTATTTGGGACCGTGTACACTCTGTGCATGCAAAGCTTTGTACAAAACCCCTCTGCTAGCGGCGCAGCGAGCAGCAGGCACCAGGAGCTGCTTCAGGGGGCAGTTTGCATCCCTCCTGCTGGGTTCAGAGAAAGCCCAACCAGCCACATGGCCTGCCAGCAAACCAGTCCTGAGAAAATGGCAAACTCCTCGCTGTCAGAGGGGGCCGGGAGCACGCAGGAGCAGCTCAGCTTTGGGGCTCAACCTCCCGCTTCCGCTGCTTCCAGTTTAACCAAACAGAACTCCAGAGTTCATCTCAAGATCCCCAGAGCAGCAGGAGGAGCCGCCACTGCCCAGTGCAGCCTCACTTCTCCTCAGGGTCGCCCTCGGGGAGCAGTGCCCCACCAGAGCCCTTCTTGCGGACGCACAGGCCGCAGTCCAACTCCACATCGATGTCCCCGAATCGCAGCTGGCAGGACTCGTTGCAGCTGTGGGGAGGGACAGGAACACGGCTCAGCAGGACGCAAGCAGCAGAGCTGTTTGCTCACCCCAACCCATCAGCAAGGATGCTGAGCACCCTGATACCCAGCCTTCCCCCTCCCTTTCCAGCAGCCCCCCTGCTCCACGCAGGCACACGATTTTCATCACTCGTAACACAACGCTGAGCTTCCCAGAGAGGCTTTGGTTTGGAGCTGCTCACATACCAGCGTGACACGGCCGCGTTGGCTGCCAGGGCGATGAGGGCTCCTGCGTAGTGCCAGCAGAAGCACATGGTGAGGAATGAGAAATTGCTGCTGTCAGTCTGGTCCCAGCCCGGTCCTCCCCAGGGAGGGGACAGCACAAACCCGATCTGCTCACAGACAGAGGTGTTAGGCAGAAGCATCAGGCTTCACTATATTGATGATCTTAAAGGTCCCTTCCAACCTAAGCCGTTCTATGATTGCTCATTGCTTTTCCTCCTCTTTTGATCCCTTTGCTGCTGCAGCTTGCCATGAGATGGGGACAAAATAATCCCTGTAACACTCAGCACACTGCCTCAGTGCTCTCATCAGCCAAACTGTCATGGACATGGGATGCTCATCTTGGGGAAAGGGATCCGAACATTACTTGGAACATTACTCATAATAACAATGGAAAATCGTGAGTGTGGTTTCCCACCCTTATGATCACAGTATCTCTGCTCCTTCCTGGGGCAAAGCCCACAGCTCGGAGGGGAGCGCTGGGTTCCCACTGACCTGCCAGAGCCAGGAGCCCTGTAGAAGGAATGTGCTGGTCCTGAGGCACTCCAGGATGATGTGATCTCTGAGAAACACCTCCAGGAGGACACAGAGGGCTCCAGCAAAAATAGCGAAGGCCAACAGGGAGTGGAGGTGCTGGTCCAGTGTAGCATCACCAAAGTTATGGAAGCAGAAGAGCAAACCTGACAAAAATCAACACTTCATTAGGAAAGGATGCTGTGGGATTTGTTCCTGTCTTTTAAATCGTAAAAAAAAATCTGAATATTATGGCCATGCTGTAGGTCTCGCTAAGATCTGCCTGATGGGAAGGGTGAAGAAGCAAACAGCCAACTGCTATCACCTTGTTCTGCAGGGACTCTGCAGCTCCCAGCTTTGGGGACCACCAAGCCATAGCTGAGGGGCTCTGCTAGAGCCACAGGCATCCCTGTGTCCCAGCCAGGAAGGAGCCCAGAAATGGGCACCTGCAGTTCATAGGGCATCACAGAGCTTTGTGTCAGGGTTTGTCCCTTTGTGTTAGAAGAGTCAGTGCATTTTTGTGATGCTGGAGAGAGCAAGCTGCTCATCAGCAGAACTCCAAACCCCTGTGCACATGGAGCACACCACACCAAAATACAGCCTGGGGGTTTTTGGTTGATGCATGCTGGTGACACCCCAGCCCTCCCTCCAGCCCCCCATTCACCTTCCATGAACAGGGCCACAGACAGCGAGAGCCGGTCTAAACCCAATGGCAGTTTGAGTGGTGAGTGTGAGACCACATCCACGATGCCAGAGAGGAGGAAGAAGAGGTACATGGTGGTGTAGTGCCAATGCGTGAGGTCCGTCCAGCTGTGCGTCTTGGGGCTGTACAGCATCAGGTGGGGACCAGAGGGGACAAACTGCTCCACCAGGATCCCTAGGAAGAGGGCAGAAAGGTCACGTTTTCCTTTTACATGGAGGAAAGGGCAAACTTGGAAATGTTTCTTCGAGATGGGGAATTCATAGTGATATCCGCCCAGCAATATTGATACTGATGTTAGCAGACCAAGCCATAGCTTGTCCCCAAGTCCTCCCACACAGCAACAGCTGTGTGCCACTGTGACAGCCCTCAGTGAGCTGGCAGTAGGTGATGGGACAGGGACTCTTCAGCCCTTACCTGCCAGGGCAAAGAAAGCTTTGACTGCCCCTTCAAAGACTTCCACGCGCCGGAGCCCATAGCTTGGCTGGTTCTCAGCATTTGTTTTCCTTCTGAGATACTTCAGGGGGTATCGCACCGACCACCAGAGACCAAAGATGAGGAAGAAGGTGCCCCGAAGGGCGCTGCCAAGGAAACTCGTCGGCATTGGGATCACTCCTGGTGTCTGTAGGAACAAACAGGCTCAGGTTAATCCCAAAGCTTGCTCAGCCTCCTGGGGAGCTGCAGCATCCACTGCAACAGGGAATACAGAGACACGGTGCCTAAAGGAGAAGCTGCCATCACGTGTACCTCTGTATCTGTGTTTCAGTCACCTCAACTTCCTCGTGACAGAAAAAGTGATGTTAACACTCAAGAAGACATGGCAGCTCCATGCTTTGAGGTCCCGTAACAATGCTTCTGCTCATAAAAAGCAGCATGGCAATTATTTCCTCGGAATATCAGCTCCTTCCCAACCAGATAATCGCTGGGTGTGAATCCAGCTGGAGTGCCCAGCAGCTCCCATCAGCCAAAGCCTCACAGTGAGCCGTGACAACGGGAGCCCAGAAGAGCCTCATGCATATTCCACACAGCCTCTGTGCTGAATGTGAGCAAGGCATCTCTCCACACTCTGTATACATCTACCACCCGAGGAGCCCTCACTCCTGCCCTCCTCGCAGCCTTTCTGCTCCTTCTCCACCTCTGGGCTTTGTGTGGAAGAAAGCATTACTCATCTGTAGAAAAGCCGCCACACCAACTTGCATCAGGGGGCCCCTTGCATCACAAATACATCCTCGCCGTGTTTATAAATACCAAAGGAAATGGCAGAGGCTGGATGAACAACCCCAGCACGTTCTCCAAGTCCTCCCACACGAGAAAGTAATTAGCACTGTGAAATAAGGGTAGGATGTGGCGTGGCGAGTGCCTCGGGTGTGGGAGAGCTCTGCAAGACATCCCTGGCCAGGCTGGAGCTGCAGTGCTGGGGCAGCTTGTGGATTCCAGAGCATCGGCATCCATCACTCAGCATGGGTGATCTGGGGAAGGCTTGGGACTCTTTGTGCCATGCTAAGGTTTCCTCATGGCAGGGAAATGACTCAACAGCCCTTAGGGTTGATGAGAGCTGCCCCATCCCAGCAGTTGGTTCAGGTCCTCTGCTGTACCTCAGCTGCAGGGTGAGGTGGATCGTGCCCCAGGAGGGACTGTGTCTCTGCTGATTATAGCCTGGACACCCATCCAGGGCACTTATCTTCCTTGCACACGCAGCCACGTGCTGAAGTGACTAAAAACAAATGCTCTTAAATCACATTTAAGCGATGCACAATTGCATGATATATAACCAAATGTTACCATTGTCCTACAGGGATGCTAACTGCAATGACAGCAGCCTGAAGCTGGAGTCAGGACTGCACCTGGATTAGGACATAGCCACAGCATTAGCTTTCCATGGAGGAGGAGAAGAGGAGAGCAGCACCCAGGCTCCCAAATGACAACCAGAGGTTTATCTTTCAAATAGGAGAGATTCCCCATCCCAACCCTTTGGTCAAGCAGACGCTTGAATTCATCTCTCTCAGAGAAAGGAAAAAAAAATCAACAACAAAAACTTATTTTAAGGAACAGCCACTATTTCTTAGAGAAACCAGACACGTTTCCAAGCAACAAACCACTCTCACAGCTCACACATTTGAGGTGCAGCACGTCCCAGTAAGGACAAACCCAGCCCAGCACCCAAACGCTCCCACACAAGCTGGTCAGGCTCCAGGCGAGTCGCAGCCCCAGAGTGCAATGCTGGGTTATTTATTTTTCCTGCAAGCAACTGTGCCTGTCAGAGGACGTGAAACATGGATGCAGTCAGGAGTTGTTACCTGTGCTGTCTTTCTCTCCCTGCAGGCTGCAGTGCCCTCCTGCAGCAGCCATATGGGAGCTGCCCGCTCTCCTTATGGCACAGTGTGCTGACTGCCTGGTGTGGGCTGGACTGCAGCTCTGCCCAGCTGCCAGGCTGTCCCCTCGAGCTCCATCACACAGCAGCAAAGCAGCACCATGGGTGGTTTTGGCCCCAGGCAGAGATGGATGTGTGAATACCCACGGGTGTGAGGGGCAGCATCCAGGGCAGCATCCAGCATCTTCCATGCTGAATGATGGGCTCTGGAGAGCCTTCCCCATGTACCCCTCTCTGCAGCTCCTCCTCTATCTCTGCTATGTGGGTACTTCTCTCTTGAGCAGAAATCCCCACCTCTCTCTTCTCCTCCTGCAAATCCTCCCCCACGACCCCAGAACCTGAGAGCTCTCCAGACAAGCCTTAACGCTGCAGAACAGCAGGAGGCTGCCTGTACCAACACCACCCCAACAGCTTTCCAGCAGCCACCATCACACAAAAAAATACATCACAGAGTTGGGCTCCCCATGGCCCTTCCCAAGGTCCAGGAGCCGCATCCACGCCAAACACGGCAGCTCGGCCTCCCTTTATGGGCAAAGAGAAGAATTTACCTGCAGCTTCTGCTTGTCCTTCTCCCTCGCCAGACGTGTTGTTACTCAGAAGGGGCAGATAAAGGCAGAGGTGAGGCAGGGAGGTGGCCCTCGGACAGGATGTTTGGAGCTGGGCTCCCCGCAGGCCAGCTTGCAGCACTGACTCAGCCGTGGTTTCACAATAGGGGACACCTGGATCTGCCAGAAGCAAGGAGCATCCCACAGTTTGCCACTAAATTGGGAAGAGCAGCCGATTCCCCTTCCCGTGGTGATCATGTGTATTCAGTTACGGTGTTATTTTCTGGATGGCTGGGGAAAGAGCCAATGAAGAGGTGGCAGCAACGAGGCCAGGTTCTGCTGGAAGGGCTCAGAGTTCCCTGATTTGAGCACAGTAATCTCTGCATGAGGTTGTACAGGGATTATGCCATATGAAAGGTGCCTGTGAGCAGGAGTTTGGGGTCAGGGCTTCCAAATCAAAGCAGAGCCCTTGTAAGTTCCATCTCCAGCCCACAGCAACCAAGAGGGGGAGAGAAGAATTGGCCCCACTGCCCCCCAGAGCAGACTCTGCAGCACACAGCAGCCTGGTTTTTGTCCTTTTTCTTGTCTGACTCAGTGCTGCCCAGTGTTAAGCATTTGCAGACACAAACCATACCAACATGCAAAGTAATCCCTGCATATCCAGCCTTCTCACCTCACCAGCTGCACAGATGAGCAACGAATGAAGTGCCTCGAGGTAAACAGACACTGTGACCCCACAGCATCCCCATCTCCTTCCAAATCACTGAGTTCCTGGTGCAAAGGCAATGAGCTCTGCCCAAGGAGCAGATGTAGGCAACAAAAAGCACTCGGTGCAGTCGCAACCCAATATTTCTCTGGATCGCAACACATGTGGGTGCACATCATAGGGCCCCACACAACCCCAAAATCCCCCATCCGGGCTGCAGGATAAGCTGTGCCCAGTGCTCAGCCCCGTCAAGAGCTGCACACATAAGCCAGCACCCAAGGGAAGCCCTAAGGCTGGAATAGCAGGAGGGGAAACAACACACGCAGCCTCCCCCAGGGTTGCTCTCCTGCACAGCCATAAAGGCCACTGAGCCATAGCCAGGAGCCCTTTTACACAACTTATCTCCATATCGGCAATAGCAAGAAGGAGGAAGGAGGAAAAACAGGCAGCTGCTGGCGTGCTGCCATGCAGTGCAGGCCTCCAGCCTTCCTGCAGGCAGCTGCAGAGCGTGCAAAGCTCCATCCAGCGGGAGGAAGCTCAGTGCTGGCAGGGAGGGGAAATGCACATGGGGACAGGAGCACAGTGCTTTCACCCACAGGTGCTGCTCATCATTCTGCATGGGCAGAAAAGGAGCTGAGCATGCTGCAACAGGAGCCTTCAGCTTAGAGGGGATGCCAGAACGTGCAGCATCACCAAACCAGGGCTGCAGCACCTTGCAGGGTACAAGTGCTCTCCCTAAGCCACTATAGCAGCTCTCCTCACAGACCCTCCCCCAAAATAACAGAGCGCCCAGGTTTCTGGCAGAGAGCAGCAGCACCTTCAGCAGCCTCTGTGTAACTCAGCTCCCCTTTCTGCCTTTGTTTTCTTCCTTCCTTTCCTCACCCAGCCCTACAAAGCAACATCCCCCCAAAAACCAGCTAACCTCAAAGCTGGTGGCAAGCAGAAGGAACAAAACACTTCCAGCAGTGGGAGGCCAGAGCTGGAGGGAGAAGGGAGAAAACAAGGCACAGCTGCTGGGAGCTGAAGGTGCCTTTTGGAAGAGAGCTTAAAGAGCCAGCAGGAGCACAGCAAGCAGAGAAAGGTCTCCTAGAAAGGGCAAACAGTAATCAAGTGCTTACCAGTCTGTTTGTGAGAGTCCTTGGGGAGAGCTGGGGTATGAAACGCTTGGGGAAAAGGGGATCTAGCCACTGAAACAACCCCTGCAATGGAAAGTGAGGGTAAGTGCTGATGGTAAGGTGGGATAAATGCCAGCAGCCCCCAGACTCTTGGAGGATCAGCCACACTGTGTGCTGAAATCACTGCCTGAGGGGCTGAGCTCAGTGAGCTGCACCTACAGCCCCCAGCTGCAGACTGCTGGAGCACAGGGGAGTATTATGGGATGGTCCCAGCAACTCCTGCCCTCCCTGGGCTCCAGCCCTGATGTTTTCAAGCTAAACAGCAAACGGAACTCCATTTCATTTTTAATTATTTCTTCTTTTCTTGGCTGTAACTGCAACATCCTCTCCCTGAAGGTTCATCACCGGCCTCAGTGCTAATGAAAAAATGTGATAATGTTTGCCTGCTTCCTGGGGGTGGTGGGAGGCACGATCTAATTAAAGGTTTGCCAGCAGCTCGGGCTCTGCAGATGGATGGTTGTTAGGGAAGTGCAAAGTATTATTATTATTATGACGAATGCTAAGACAGGCTTTCATAAACAGGCAACAGGGGAGGTGAAGCAGGTGGTAGAAGCATAGGCTGGGCTTGTGCTGCATCCCTTCAGCTTTACATAAATGCAGCCACAGAGAGTGGCAGTGGTAGATCCTACCTCTGGTGAAGAGCACGGGATGAGGCTGGTGGATAGGAGGATGGCAAGGTGTGGGATAGCTGGTGCTCTGGGGTGATGTTCTGTGTTCTCCTGGCATGCTGAAGAAACGGGGCTAGATGGAGGACCTGCAGCTCTTTCCTGCCTTGAACGAGCAGATTTCCAGTTGTGGGAACATCAGCATCCCTGCGCCCCAACC